CTTTGCATCTATGGGGCCCAAGGATGAGTGATATTTTTATGTATTACTAACAACTAACAAGGCCAAACAAACACTCCCAGGAACTGTGACTCAGGGTGGAGCCGAGACCTGAGCCTCAGTGATGTGGTGCTGCAGGAATGACTCCACCCTCATTCAAATTACATTTCTGCTCATGAGTCTTCCTGATTCCAGATTCCTAGGAGTCAGATTTCTATCTCAAGAAATAAGCGGTCCTAGCATGAGGACTCAGGAGGAAGCAGAGATGCAAACAGCTTTCTAAACACACCCAGATCCAAGAACATCAGAAGTAACAGCTCCTTGGATGCATACCACAGAGTAAGAGGAAATACACTCCATGAAAGATAACTGCTTAAAGTCATCAGTAGGAACGTTTCACAAGAGTTCGCAGTAATTACCATACATGCATATATAATCTTGGGAACACTTCTTTAGATCTTAATAATTGCCTGGGAAAAGTCGTGCTAGACACTATCAGAATATATGAAGACAATACACATGTAACTATGCCAGCCACACAGAAAAGCATACAAAGGATTTAAGGAAGTTGAAATACATTACTTTACAGAATATGTATGAGAGTAGGTGCAATTATCTTTTTCAAAGTAAAAATTCAGAAGAGAACAAAATAAACAAATACAAAATAATAAAGTAGAGGGATCATAAAACAACTTCTAAGCAATAACTGATAAGAAATGATATGCATACATTTTAAAAATCTAGATTATTAAATGCTATAAAATATCCTAGTTAGAAAAACAAAGTGATTCATAGACTGTATAACAAGCTAGAAAGAAAAGTTTAATAATAATATTCAAAAGCACTCAGAAGTGAGGATCAATAGCTCAATGGCAGATGGTGCATGCTCAGTGCATGTGAGGCACTGTGTTCAACCCTAAGAATAAAAGAAGTGAAAAAATAAACATAAAAGTGTATGTAAATATACATTACACACACATACACAGTCTCTCACACACAGTCACATACAGGCATACCATTTGTTCTGATTAAAGACAGACAAGATACAGTGGAAGTATCACCCCTTTGTCCAAGAATGGGAAGGTGAGCTTGGTCTCCAATAAAGACCTTAGCTGCCAGACACTGAATTTACATGCTTTCCCTGAATGTAAGATTTTTTGTATAATAAGTAGCTTATTTGTTATGGAATAGCAGTTTAAGATGTGTTATATTTGTTTACACTGTGGAATATTTGTTTAATGATTCAAAGATGTGTTGCAGTTTTTTTTTTATGTTGTATTTGTTTAACTCTGAAGCTGTGCCATTTTGCCTGTCAAAAATACATGATTGGTCTAATAAAGAGTTGAATGGCCAATAGAGATGCAAGAGAGAAGGACAAGTGGGGTTGCCAGTTAGAGAGAATAAATAGAAGAAATCTAGGCTTGAAAGAAGAGGGAGGAGCCAGAGGAAGAGAAGGAGAGGAAGAGGATATACTAGGGCCCAGCCACCCAGCCAGCCAAGGAGTAAGAAGGAAAGAAAGACATATAGAATAAAGAAAGGCAAAAAGCCCAGAGGTAAAATGTAGAAGAAGAGAAACAGAATAATTTAAGTTAGAAAAGAGAGTACAAACAAGCCAAGCTAAGGGCAGGCATTCATAAGTAATGATAAGTTTTCATGTATTTATTTGAGAGCTGCGTGGCAGGCCCTCAAAGAGTAAAAACAAACAAACAAAATCCCCCCCAAACAATTCTGAAGCAAGAAATTTGTTTCTACCACTTAAATCTATCTTATTCAAAAACATTATGATAAAAGGCCATTCCAACGCCATATTATGACAATATACTGGCTACTAATAAAGAAAATTTATCCTCTGAAAAAATCCAAAACAAAGTTTATCACTGATTAGCAGGTTTCTAAAGGATAAGAACGGGGCATGATTTCCTGTTGTAGGGATTACAGGCATGAAGATCATAATTCATATTTAAAAATCCATATGCCAGCTTTTATGGTAGCTTTTTCTCACTATACAGTTAATTAACTTGGCCTTTTGAGACAGCATCACACTATAGAGGCCATGCTGATCTCTAGTTCACAATACTCCTGCCTTAGTATCTGGAATTTGGGTGTTACCTGTGTCTGTTGCTATATCTGGCTAACGATTTGCTTTTATATTGAAATTTTTTAACAAGACCTTAGCCAGTTATTGGCTGAGAGAGAGAGAGAGAGAGAGAGAGAGAGAGAGAGAGAGAGATATTACAAAGTTTCCAAAGTATTGGATCTTTTCAATATCTGTAAATAAATAGAGAGCCTTCTGAAGGACTGTCTAAAGTCCTTGAGATACAGCACCCCTGATGCAATCCCCTTTATGCATGGAGCCCCTCGACCTTAATAATTACTGCATCTAAACAGAGGTGAGAATATTTGATCTCCTGAAGCAACAAATCATATCTTCCATGATTTATACTCAACTACAATCCATGCAATTTGTAAGATCAAATAATTCTTTTTAAATGAGCATGTATATAAAATGTTTTTTTTTAAATTTTATATCATCTTAATTGTATGGACAGGAAGCAGAATACAACCTTGTTTTATAATACAGACTTTCAGTTCCTCTCAAAGTCCGTATTCAAGTGGGAGTTTCAGATAAAGATATTATTTTAGAGGCTTATTAAACAGTGCTACATTAGGAAGAAAAATATATGAAAAGGCCATGAGTAGTGCTCACTTTCTATGGAGAGCTGCATTATGTTTATGGTTTCACAACCTGTGGGAGACTGATCAGTGTGTATGCAACTACTCTGACACAGTCCCCAGATTACCTTTAATACTGAGACTCATAGTATATGACATTTCCTGATAAAAATTAGCAAAATCTGATAAGTGCCACATCTTATTATGCTTTTGGAACTCTCACTTGATTTATAAAATATCTGTATTTAAAAAACTGTATCATTTGTTCCCAGCACAAAAGAAAGGATAATTTTTTTTAAATAGATTAGTTCAAAAGATTTATCTGACAATTTAATTCAGTCACTAAAAGCTTGGTCCACTACTATGTCCACTATGTCCTCATTTAATAGTTAATGTTTAGTAATGAAAACAGATAAGCATTTTTGTCAACATAATATGGCTAATGAAATCAACACCCCTAAAAAGTGAGGTTATTTGAATGCAAAGGGTTTGGCCTTCCTTTCACAAAGCTTACATCCAACACTAGCTTAAGAACACTGTGTCTCCCTTGTACAACTTTTAGGTATTAGGTACATGTTTTGTAAACTGTAATGTCACTGAGAACTCTGAGGTCCTTACTTTTTATACTTCATGAACTGTATTTTTCAAGCCGTTTTATGTCATGTCAACATAGAAAATAAATGAGGATGTTTGTTTGTTTCCTCAATTCCCTTTCTTTCCTAAATTTTTCTATTATACAGCATGGACCTAATAGATAATTTATAAATTTATAAAAAAATTAGTTTTTGTCCATTTTTCCCTAAAAAAAAAAAAAAACCTTGAGTCAGTGTTTCACTAACTCTGTCTGATCCAGAATTCACCAGACAGATAAGGATGGCCTCAAAGATGGTCTTAAGGTCCTGCTGACTCTCTCTTTTGTATCAAAAATACAGACATGTGCCACCATGCCGAGCCTGGCCTACATCTTCTAAACATGGGAATTTGATATGGGGTTCCCCTCTGTATGCTGTGAATACCATTGGTTAATAAAGAAACTGCCTTAAGCCTGCACAGGGCAGAATAGGGTAGGCAGGGAAAAACTAAACTGAATGCTAGGAGAAAGAAGGCGGAGTCAGGAAAAGCCATGTTAGCCCCACTAGAGACAGATGCTGGAACTTTACCTGATAAGGCACAGCCTCGTGGCGATATACAGATTAATGGAGATGGGTTAAATTAGTATGTAAGAGTTAGCCAATAAGACTCTAGAGCTAATAGGCCAAGCAGTGGTTTAATTAATACAGTTTCTGTGTGGTTATTTTGGGTCTGAGCTGCCAGGCAGCAAGGAAACAAACAAGCAGCCTCCTACAACAAGAATTGCTGCCATAGTCTCAAAAATATCTTTCATGGTGATCATCAAATTTAAACAAACACAAGAAACTCTTAATAATTTTCATTGATTAAAAAGATATTTCTGTAGCTTTATCTGAATTCTAAAATAAATTTTATATGATTAATAAGGCAATATAAGTAACTGATAAAGAGTACAAGACCCTAGACTGATAAGTGCTTCAGAACTTTGCTTGAAAAAATTGTCATAATGTTGATTTTATATTATACAGTAATGTATAATTCAGAAAATAGTTAAGTAGAACTCTAGTTTATATATTAATAGAATGAACCATTCTGAGAGCAAAACAATTTTTTAGTACTATAGCAAACAAAGATTCACTAATATACATATTTTTCAAAAAGTAAGAAAAGTTTCTAAGTGCTTAAAACATATGAATATGTCAAAAATCATCTTATTCCAGCCCATGTACCTTCATCTCCAATGGCAAAAGGCCTCTTAGGTGCATTGTGAGAGAAATTACTTTCTTTTATTTCTTTAATAGAAATATCTTTCTACTAAAGGACCTCTTGCTACCGTCTCTGATACACATAAGACTGGGGAATGTACGGGGGTAGGGAGATGACTGAAAAGTTAAAAACATTTGCTGCTGTTTCAGAGGACGCAAGTTCAGTTCCTAGTACTCATACTGAGAAGCTCACAACAGCCTGTAACTCTAGCAAGGGGATATGACACCTTCTTTGGCCTTTATGGGTACCCACATACATGGGTACAAGTGTTCATACACACACACACACACACACACACACACACAAAGAAATCTTGAAAGATATGAGTGTGTGTTTCCTTTATATATCTATAGGTATATTTTCTGAAATTAGCAAAAATGAGCCACACCCATAGATTTTTATGTTAACATATGTGCCCATCATAGAACAAGTGCATAGAACACTGCACTTATCCACATTTCATATTTTTCATTTCAAAAAAGATATACTACTACCTTTCTTGCTTCTTTTATCATCTTCCGAATAGTTTCCTTTATTGTAAGTAGATGTGCTCTCGGTGGATGGAAGAGGAGGTCTATATGCGTACTCCCTAAGAATCCGGGCATCACACATGGCCAGCCTAAATCAAGATTTGGAGCCTCCACATCAGACTCTGTGGGCCAGTAAGTCCCTGACGAGGAGGCACCATCACAGGAGCTATCAGAACCACTTTCTGTGTTTTGTGAAAACTTCTGGACATTTTTCAAAATATAATTCACTTCTTCCTCAGCTAGAAAATCTGAAGCTCGCTCCTTGACGAGGAATTCTTGGTAGGCGTCTATCCCATGTTCAATCAGAGCATCAACGGCCACACGGTACCACTCCTTGTAGTGGGGCTCGATGTAGCTATCGGATCTCCACTCATCATTCAGTGAGGAAAGCATTGACGAGGTCTCCATGGTTGCAGATGTTTGACGATGATACTTTCAAATGTTCATCTGTGCAGAGGTTCCTACGTGTGTGATAAGAAAGCCAAGGTCAGTTAGAATTCTATGTGCAGATATTTATGATATATGTCATGCATCACTTTGACAGCATTGCATTAAGGACTGTTTGAGTTCTTACATTTACATTAAGTACTGAACTGACACACTTCATATCCAAAATGACATTAATAGAGCCACAATTCACTAGCTATCACAGATCACAATCAGTTACATGGGTCTCCCTTGCAAACTCAAGACATTCCAAATTAAGTGTCTCATATGACATCATGGACCTGTCTTCTCTGATGATACAGAACATCCACTCAACTTACACGTGAGAGCAGGGTGTGCTTGATGAGGTGGGATACTTCTTGACATTAAAATAGTATTGGAATAGCATGAATGCCCGGCTAGTCAATGATACAAATACGTTGATATGCTGAATATTCAAGAAAAGCACAAAATATCTGTCTTCCAGGAATTTACTATTTAGTTGAAGTACATAGGAAGATATACATATAAAACTGTTATACATAGAAAACTATAGGCCATGCATTACAGAGGGCCAAATGGGTTCATATTTGTGCTCATTAATTAATCATGTTGTAGTCGCTGGTTTAAGAATAAAAGCAAACAGAGATCGGTACAAAATAAACAAGCTATGGGCAGCCCTGAGCAGGAGGCATGCTGCAGCTAAGGCTAAGGCTACAAGAAAATTCCTGCAACAGAAGATACTTTCATTTCGGTCAAGGCCAAAAGCACAGTCAGAAGAACAAAGCAGAAATGGAGAGGGTATTCGAGAGTCAGGGAGGAAATCTTGGTATGCGGGAAAACAGGTTTCTTTAGGAATGACAGACTGAGCTGAGAAGATAAGAGCAACTGAGCCAGGTGTGGAGATCAGGAGACTGCCGTGGTTCCGCCAAACCAGTGGTAAGAGGCTCCACATCAGACTCCTGGTGTCCTGCTTCACAGAAAGAGACATTGGGCTTCATCTCAGTCAGATTAGGGGCTTCTCGGCTGTTTGAAGTCCTGATACCCATTGTGGGGCTCACAGAGCAGCTGCATCCTGGGTTACAAGAACTACAAAGCTAATCTGACCAGAGCGGCTTTAGCTGTGGTTCTGAACTACTTTAACATTCTATGCTTTACTGACCTTTTCAGTCACCCTCCCACTCCAATTCAAACTCAGCCTGTGAGGGGCGAGTCTGGAAGCCATTACCCTTCCTCATGATACTCACTCAAGATTCACTCTTCACTCTGCCAAGTACACAGAGGAGCTGTGAGTATACAGGCTGATGAGCAAGGCTCAAAAGATCCATCCTCTGCAGACTTTCACTGTGAGGAGATGATAGATAGATAGATAGATAGATAGATAGATAGATAGATAGATAGATAGATAGATAGATAGATGATAGATCGAGCAGATCAATTAATCAATTGGTGAATAGGTGAATAGATGGATAGATGGATAAATGAATAAACGGTGGATAGATGGATGGATGAATGGACGGATGGATGGATTGACAGACAGACAAATAGATGATAGATGATAGATAGATGGATGGATAGATAGATAGATAGATAGATAGATAGATAGATAGATAGATAGATAATGGATAGGTAGGTAGGTAGATAGATGGATAGATAGATTATAGATGCCGGCTACCCATTTCAGAGGTAAATTACATAAAGTTCTTTAAAAACATGATTCATTTCTTGTTTTTTATGCATATGAAAGTATTGCAATTGTTCAAAATTAATTGCTGGACTATAGGTATACTGACAAGCTACAGAGGTCAAAAGGATAATGACCACAAAGGAAACTGTAATTTATCATTTACATTGAAGGATAGGCATAAAGAAACAAAACCACACTATGAATTAGTCTGGAAAGTGAAATGCTAAGGGTTAATCTATCAGTTAATATGAAATGCTAGGGGTTAATCTAACGGTTAATATGTAATCTGACGGTTAACATGAAATGCTAGGGATTACCCTAATAGTTAACAAGTAGGAGACCATTGTGGGAAAGTGCAAAAGTCACGTCACCTGAGTTTGGATCTTACAGACAAGACTAGAGATAATACTATGTTTGATATCCTTCTTTGGGAACAGTTATACTCCAGATGGGTACTGGAGTATATGATACTAGTTTATCACCAAAGCTGTTTACAAGGAATAATCTTGAAGGGGAATATCTACAAACCAATTTTAACTGAGAATAAGAAAGTAATATCACTTCTACAAATGCAAACTGAAGCAAAAGAGCATCTGTGTTTGGTTACAGACTCGGGATTTCATTTGGAAGAGTTTTGCTGAACGTTTCGAAAGGTTCATTAGAGTACAAAATTAATTAGGTGTGGCTCTAACACAAAACTGAAAAGTACTTTATTAATAATGATTAAAACAGCTAGGAAGCATGTATTCTTTTAACATAGAAATAATGAGTTGGTAAAAATAAGTCTCAATGTGGCATAAAAGCTAGACTGAGTATTAAGATTCACTGCTAATGAAGTGATTCATTCTAGAAAAACATACCCTTAAAGTCTATGCATCCAAAAAGCATAAGTACTCTTGATATCAACTTTGAAGTGTCATTTATGGCAAGCAAATAGAAATTCAAAATATAAATTCTGCTAATACAAAGGCTATAAAATAAGCCAGAGAATAGATTTCACAAGTCACTCTGGGAAATCCCACTCAGCCCCTATCATAGAGACATCCTCCTGCAGTAGATGGGTAGTAATGCAGAGACCCACAGCTGGATTACCTGCAAAGAATGAGAGATCCTGGAACCCCCAGTACAAAAATGGATGACCCCATCTAATCCCTTCTCTCTGGGCTCAGGTAGCTTTTCAGAAGAGGAGGCAGAAAGATTTATGAGCCAAGAACTCAGAGACTGTGGGAGCAAACACAAGGGCTACACATGTTCAAGACAGACAGGATCCCAGCTCTAGAGAGGAAAATGGCCATGATCATCCATATCCAAAGAAGATGCTATCTCCAACTGACAGCTGTTTGGGAAGGGAAAATTTAGTTGTCTCCAATGGAATTTCACTGAGTTTATAAACCACACATAAGGGTAATCTCCATGCCCAGTTGAAGGCCAATATAAAATGAACTCAGTAGTGTTTTTTGTAGATGTTTTATTTCACATTGCTTTGTTTTTTTTTTTTATCTTCCTGATCTTTTTGCTTGTATTTTATGATTTCTGAATGTTGAAATCAAATTTTTAAAGTTTCAAAGGCTTTTTTCCCCCATCTATTTCCGTGGTGCATGGAGCATTTTGATGAAGACTTAAGTGAAGAAATGTCTACAGTCTGGAGGTGGTTTTCAAGTAGGAAGGGAGTACTGATAAAGAAAACTGGAGTAAGGAAAAGCACAAATATCTAAATGAACACATGGGAGTAAGAATTCCTGTACAGACACGTGAACAAAACGGGAAAAAATGGCAGCTATTGGTGCATGCCCATCTTATAGCTTTGAGATGCTGTAATACATTTGAAGATCTATCAACCAAAAAGTAAAACAGTTTATGAAATGCAAGTTTATGAAGAGTACAAAACGGGTGAACTCAGAAGGGAGAACCTAGGCAAGCACTGCACAGTTAACGAGGAGGACAACATGAGAACGAACAGAAGGAAAGATCCAGTGGGTTTCACCTGCTCTTTATTACACAGCTCTCATAAAGGTGGGTCCAACTTAGATGTGTCACGAAAATGGGAAGGCCGTGAACACATGTGTCTTTAAATCTATAACACACTAACCTGTCTCTTGTACAGAGGTAGATTTAAAACTAATGACAAACTTTAAATCAATTTCTGTAACTTCATTCTAAACTATTAATATTTTTGTATAGACTAAAATGTTGGATGAAATCACACATTTGTATTATTGGACAAATTCTAACCATAAACCAATCGCAAGAAAATTTAGCTTTATTTAGAATCATTTATATTAAAGTTTATTTAGAATAAATATATAAAGCTATTAATACATATAAATCGTATCAGTATTTATGCCCCTGACAACTTAATATCAATGATTGTTTTGAGTATTTTTTAAAAATTTTATAAGATTGAACATATTCTAAATTCAATATTAAATAATATTTTCATGTTACACTTAGGGAAAGTTTATATTAATAGATAAAAAATGATTCCTGGTATTGTGTAATTCCATGCACAAATTTTGTTTGAATGACAACTCATACTGGACAATCTTTCCGTCAGGCAAAAACCAGCAATGGTCTTCTATTCAATAAGTTTTATATGAAGGAGAATATAAAAAGAAAATTTTAGGCCCTTCCGCCTTTAAAATTTTATTTGTAAGGGTTGTGTTTCATTTCTAATTTGATTACTAGAACTTTAGAATGACAAAACATCAAGATGCCGCAATTAAATTATGAACTTATTTTAATAAGCTGTCAAGTATAAGTTAATTTGTACTTCTGGCATCCAATGTCATTATATTTGAAAGTGGCTTTATTGTTGCACTTATGATGAATTAGCTCAAAAACACAGGTTAATCAGCACTCAGGACCACTAGAGGCAGACCCTACTCTGCCACAAGTGCTAGGAGCAAACATCCCAAAGAGTAGAATTTGTTATCTTCTGGACCCAGAAATATTAAGCAAGAGCATCTCAGTATCAATTCATTCATCCCAAAGCAAATCCCAGTGGTTCAATACCTAATTATCTTTTAATTTCCTTAACTATTTTAACTGGAAGATGGGGTAGCAATATCGCTTTTACATCAATATAATTTCTGGTTTATTAGTATTGGCTGTTATTCAGCACATTTGCCATGCCTGACCCAATGTAGCAATTTCAGATATTAGGGGCGAAAGTCTTTAGTAAATATTGATAACTTTAAAACATGAACAATATTTGGAAGTCCATATCTATACTGAAGAATTCCCACAACTAATTCATAAGAATAACAATGAAGCAGGCAGGCAGTGGTGGCGCACAACATTAATCCCAGCACTCAGGAGGCAGAGTCAGGCCAACCACTGTGAGTTCAA